TGTTGTAAAGCACATAATGCTTATCTGTGCATGGGTCTCTAGTACAATACTATAAAAAAATAGCAAACTATGTGATGTGAATTAAGGAAGATTCCTATGTGTCGATTTATTGATACTTGTTAGATATAAGCCAGAAAAAAAACCCAACTCCTGTAAGGATTACACCATAGATTATATTCAAATCAGTATCCTATATGACCCTTCACAGCTTAATAAAATGATAGCTGAAGAAATAGAGAATACCAGTGAAGATTTACTTCAAGGTCATGAAGTCTTTGTTTCCTAATTTTTTCTGTTGACCTAATCATGTTAAAGGAGTTTAAGTTATTATTTTAAAAACGATCTTAGTAATATCAGTTGGTGCCTGAGCAACAGCAAACAATTCATCTTTCTCAAGTAAGATGTCAATTTTGCCGCTGCTGCTCATGCTGGTGTTGGAATCTTTGTAGCCAAATTTAGCATCATTTACCTTGCCTGCCCCACAGCTTTTCTAAGCCAACCTACCAGTGAGGAAAAGGAAATGCTTTCACTTTAGAGCCTTTCAAAGTCTTGACAAAAGCTCACTTTCTGTTCTTCAGGTTTCCTATATATGGTTTTAGCCTCGAGATGAGGACCTGCTCGCTATGCACCCTCTCCCATCCCCCATTTCCTGCCTGGGTTCATTAAATGCTGATTTGAAGTTGGCACACGCTCTTCTGATACAAAAGTAGTACTATGTTCCAGGAACCATCAGAAAGTAGTGCATTATTGTCTTTTACATTCCCTTCATATATATCTTCTCCCTGTGCATAAAAAGGATTTTTATCCCTTCTTCTTAAATATTTCTGTGTGTTTCATGAAATGAAACAGTGAAGCAAAGCCTTGTCAAAAATACCTCAGCTCATTTGGGAGCAATCTGGCCCCAGGCTATATTCTTTAATGCTAGTATCTGCTAATATTAAACAAAGTGGAGAACGGGACATAATGACTTCACCAAATCATTTTCCTATCTCTTTTGCTTGTATCTGAGTACCATGTCTCTTAGCAGAGACTAGCTTTCCTTCACCTGATCACTGATTTGTGATGACTTTAATGTGTACCTACATAATGAGTTTGTTGCAATGACTTTAATGTGTACCTACATAGAAGCCTGTGTATTTTCCATTTTTAACAGTACAGTTACTTAATTCTTTCTTCCTCTACGAAGCCACCATAAAGTATGAGAAAAATCATTGGGACACTGTCATATTCATCTACAACCAATGTTTGCAGTTCTGTAGAAATCGTTACAGGTCATGCCAAGGAGTTGGTAACCAATCCTCGGATTGCCTCTATTATCTTCTGTTGTTGTTTAAACTAATCTTTTTTGTATCTTTCATATCTGTTTGTCACTTACAATTATTTAAAGAGTATTAGCAGTCCATTATTACTAGCACTAGAAAGAGAATAATCCAGGTAATACCAATGAAACTGAACAAACCATATACTGCAATATATCATTATTCCAACTTATGCTATAGCTACATAAACAAAGTCATTTTCAGACTAGTCTTTCCTGAAATCCTCTCAAGTGAATCGCTCAAGTGGGTATCAGCTGATTTGCATTGAGATCACTGACATGGGCTTTTATGGCCTTCAGAGAAAATGGCTGTGTCTTTTTGTTTTCTTTGCAACAAAACACTCTCAAATAATATATTAATCCTTTCTTCAAGTGCCATCCTGTTTTCCTTATCTACCACACTCCTGGACACGTGCTCTTGTTTTATTCTTTTGTCTATGGCACTTGGGCTCCTTGGTGGGATGATTCAGTCCACTATAGTTGGAGTCACCTAACCCAGCAAACCCCACCGCATTTGGCACCTCCAGCACTTTAAAGGAGGTCCCATTTCCTCAGGAAGGTGAGATACAGGATGTCTGTTATATGGTGTAGAATTAATCTAGTTTTGAGTTCTGGACCACAATGGGATGCTTAACGTACAGCAAGTTAGCCACATGCATTAATTATCTTGCTGTGTCAGTCTCTTGGTTTGTGGTTGAATCACCGTATAAAGTAATAGACTACCTGAAGGTCTTTTCAATAATTCTATGGTATCAATGCAGAAAAAAAAAGGTTAATTCTTAGGGGTTTTTATTTGCATGAGGATGCTACTCTGCAGCAAGCCTGGGGAGTAAATCTTTAGCCTCAAAAAGTTATTTGGCACTGACTCCCCATGTGACACTTCTTTTCCACACGGAGAATGCCTTTGGGTGATGAACATATTCATCCTCGGCAGTGGATTAATTAAGATGAGCAAAGGAGCCAATAGTGTGCAGTAGAAATACGTATCGAGTGGCTAATGCAAAGCAGTTATTTTGAACATTATCCCTCTATAGACCACTTCTAAGAATCACTAGTTAAAATATTGAGCCAAATAATCATTTGAAACATAAGGCAGATTAATTATAATAATTCTTGACCATTTGCAACTACAACTTTCCAAGTGTCTTGCAAATACTAGGGAGAAAATTTAATTAAAATAAAAGGTTTGAAATATTTATTTTCACTTTTTGCTCACTTATTCAGAGTTTAAACAATTAAAATAGTTTCTGATTAATCTTACATGAGTGCCTTGGGGCAGTGAGTATGTATATATATGTATATACATTTATAATTGCAATCCACAGCTCCATACTTGAAGGTCAAAATGATTAATTTTTCCTTTTTAACTATCAGAAGAGCATTGACAATAATAGATGTGTTGTTACTGCCCTCATGTAGGAATGCACTGAAGCACAGGATTGCTGTTGTGATCCATACCTCTTGCAGTCAACAATAATTCTGCCGCAGCTTTAGTGGAGCAGGATGTTACAGTGATCTCTGCCGTCACACACCAAGTCAATGCCTCAGGCACAGCTAGGAATCAAGAAACCAGTGTCCAGTTCTGTATTTTGTTCATTGGAGCAATGAACATCATCCTCAAACTGGTTAGATTTATATATTTAGTGCACTTAAACCAGAATCCTTTTTGCTAGTCATTGAGTCCTAGTAAACACCATGTTAGGAGCTGGCAGTGTCTCATGGAGAACATTCAGGAACGCCAGTATTTGAAGCTAACACTCTTCAAACATTGGCATTGGTTTTTATTGTGAGGTTTATTTTATAATTTTAAAACCACCCTTTTCCATGCCTTTTAATTTTAAAATTGATTATTTCCATTTAAAAATTATTGCCGTCTTTCATGCATCTTCTCAGATGGCTCATAAACTCAGACATTGACTTCAAAGTCTGTTTTCTGTGCTTATATGATTGATTCAGATGCAGAATATGATGGGAATGTGGTAAAAATAGAAAGGCAATCGCTGTGACTGAGCATGAAGTGGAGAATTTCTCCAGTGAGTGTTGCAGAGGATTTGTATCACATTAGTCTGTCACGGGTACAGACATATTCTCCTAATTTTTAAGAGTACAGAATGGTATAAATGGAATTATTTGTAAGTGCAAAAGAATTGAGTGCCTTTTCTTTTAAATGTCATCACACCTGGTGCAATCTGTGGTTGAAAGTGTGTAGTGTAGTCGTAGCCCATTATTATATTTTATATTTTCGGTTTCGTCACAAATGGTATCTCAGATAGCAAGCAAGTCTTTGGTACTTCATTATCAGAACCATTGATCTTAACAGTGGCAGTAAGTCATAGAAAATATTTTTAAAATATTTTTATTATTAATGATTTCCAGTGTTTTGCTAGCCTGTGGATCTTGGTCTGAAATGTACTCAAGGCACAGGGTCTTCAGAGGGAAACACTTGACAAGTGCAGAGTAGAATGTGACAAAGGCCAGCATATGACTGCAGGTACTGCAGGCCACAGCAGCACTCTGGTGAGGTGCAGCCCTTTTGCTCTGTAGTGAACATTTCTAGCTTCCCCATCTCTGAGGGAACAAGTGGGACATCAGGAAAAAGGTGTGCAATATGACATGCTGGGCAAGAACTGGAATTAGAAGTGTAGAGTTGAGCTCCTGCCCCAAAGTGACAAGGGGGTAATTCTGGATTGAGTGAAGATATAATTTATTTTGGGTTTCTGCTAACTCTTGCTCCTTCTTTGGGGCTGGGCTCAAGTCTTTGCATAGGAGAGAGAATTGATCCCAGTTTCCAGCTTTCTTTATATTGAGATATTGCTTAGCCAAGCCTCAGTTTCAAAAAGGGAAATACAAACAAATTCTATTCTACTATTATCTTTCACTACCTCTCAGCAGTCTGTTGGATAGAGAGTATACTTAAATGAAGAGATAAATGAGTATATGAAATATTTTATCGTGCTAAAAATATTACAAAATAAAAAGCACAGCAGAGCTGGCTCTCATATAAAAAGACTGTGTGCATTTAGGAAACAAAGGTGGAACTTGCCCAAGGTGCATTAAATATAATCCTGGGTTTTCTGGGAATCAATCCTACTTCTTCATTTTCAGAGCATATATTTTTCTCTGCAAATGTTCTTAGGACACTGTCATAAACCTAGTTGTTTGGTGTATAACTCAGAAAACGCTGAAGTTCTGGGCCTAAAATTGCTGACCGAGAAATGTTCTGCCAGCAAGGCTTGTTATGATTTATATTTCTAAGAGAAATCAAAAGAGACACCAGTGGAGGTTTCTCTCTATTTCTGTAATCAGACCTTAATCCAGTTATAAGGTTCCAAGGTCCAAGCTGTGTCTTCATCCAAGTTTTCACCTACAAGAGAGATAAAAATGATGTAAAATAAAATTGCATTTGTCTATAATTAATACTTATGATATTAGCAATAATTAATGGGTAACTTCAAAGTTGAAGTAGGATGAGAAAAATACTGGGATTTGAAGCTCTTCAGCTCTCTTCCTCCCTTTCCTAGCCTCTAATTTAAAATGAAGTTGTAAGGAGCAGCAGGATGTCTGGGGAGTAAAACCTCTGCCTCCAAGCCCTCCTTGGATGAGATGAAGTCCTGCAGGGTCAGTGGGTCTGACACAAAGCAGTAATTCGATTTGTAGTCACGTATTTTCTTTTTATTTCCAGCCTCAGAGCCCAATTTGAAGGTACGTTCGAGGTTAAAACAGAAAGTGACAGAAAGGAGAAGCAGTCCTTTACTCAGGAGGAAGGATGGAAATGTCAGTTCATTCAAGAAGCGTCTTTTCGAGGTGACAGGTAATTAAGAATGGAGAAATTCTATTTCAGTTGCCATAGTTCACAGGATATTGGTCGTACTTTGAAATTGAAACTGTTTGCTGAACAAAAAGAGCATTTGCAATATTTGACCTCATCCTGACAATTCTTGCTTTGACTTTGCATTGATATTTAGTAACTTCATGACTTGCTCAGGTGATCAGGTGATATCTTTATGCAATCAAGTATCACTAGTCTGTCAGACATGTATCTGAATTCACTTGGTATATCAGAATTATGTCACACCAGGATGGAACTAAAGCACAACATGAACAAATTCACATCAATGTCCTCGTACATGCAGTTTTTGTGACAGCTTTTCACAGTATGTCATGTGTGAAATTGGGACATGGATATGAATATACATATAAAAGTAATTAAATAATTTCCTTATAAATTATTTCCCGATTATAATTTTTTACAGCTAATTTATTAATTCCATTTTTGAAGCCTCTGTGAGATTCTTGATCTCCACTTTTATAGTTTTAGCTGATGTTTTTATATTTTACACACTTACAAGATATTTACCATAGGAGTTTTTTGTCTGACACCATTGAAAGAGCAAAAACATGAAAGTAGGTATCTTCGCTTCCTAGCTCTGACAATAATTTGGAGCCTTTCAGACTGTCATTATAATTATGAATACTGACTATATGACATTTTGGACCTTTCACCCTGATCAAACATTGTTGTCTGAAGCCCTTTTTCCCCTTACTTTTTATTCTTTTAACTGAAAATAGACCTTTATTTAAATGCCTTTTTATACAAAAAGTGCTATTTTAATTTTTTTAAAAAATTGGAAAAAAAGTTTAAGTTTGTGTTTCTCCACTTCTATGAAAGTTATTGAAAATACAGTCCAAGAACTTTTTTGTGACCAGAGAGTCTAGCTGGGTATGGATTCATATGGATTCACTTCAGTAAATCAAAGAGTAAGAGATCCAAGTAAGAGCTAGGAAGTCTCCTCTAATGTCAGCCACAGCGAGAGCATATTTTTGCATGTGAATTACGGCAGAAAGAGTGAAGAAGCAAAGAAGTAGCTATAGAATATTTACTGCACATTTAGATATTAATTATTTTAACTTCTTGAGTGCTTTAATTTGAAAGTTATCCCATGAAATAGGCTTACTTCCACTAATACTACACTCTTCCATCTTTAACCTTCTTAACTGTTTCCATTACATAAATGTAATTTATATCAGGGTAGAATTAGAACAACACACAACAAGATCATCCTCTTCTCCTAAAACAGAACTCAGGACATTTTAAATCAAAATAACATGCAGCCTTTCAAATGCTATTTTAATATTTTTGCATACTGTAAATATTCCTTCATATTCGTGCCCAAGATGTAGCAAAAGTGTATATTTTGCCACTAGTATTGCATAGGTAATGATTAGTCCACACTGGGCTCATCCCTGTCCTAAACAGAAAGGGGTGGCAGTAGACCTCATGAATGGACGACATGTTATCATGACCTTTGCAGTCCTGCTATCTCTGTCATTTTGATCTCTTACAGAGACAGGACTCTTTGCAATTAAAAAGGAAAGAGTGTCTTTTCTTTACTCATTACAAACTCTGTGTCTGTGTTTCTGCCTGATACTGAGTGTTATACCATCTTTGTGGGAAAAATAAATAGTAAATGCTTCTTATGTGAAGTAGACAGATCAGAAGGGGAAAGACCAAGAGCATTTTTCCTCATTAGCAAAAAAAGGAGGATGAACTAAAAATCTTCAATGTAAGTAAATACCATAACAGATAGATACTTTTCAACAGCAAAGAAAACCCTATCCCATAAAGAGTATATAATTAATCAAGATCACATGTACCTTTCCAATGTGAAATTCATGTCTGTTTAATCTGTTTTTCAGAATCCTCAGTCAGTAGCAGCTCCCCTGGATCAGGTCCCGGTTCCCCAAGCAATGGTCCAACCAGCAGTACAACAGAAAGTGAAACCTCAGTTTTGCCATCTAACATTCAAGCTGAGGTAAGACTCATTACTGTGGTGCAGATAATTGCTAAGATTTCTAGACAGGACAGTATGGATGGTTTGTTTCTAATTTTGTTGGGATCATACTCAGAAGCAGAGTAATGGCAGAAGATATAATTTTCAAGAATACCAGGACACTTGCAGGCTAACATCAAAGTGTATGATATATGACATGTCTTCATATATGAGATGCATGTTCAGGAGATGCTTTGGTAACCAAAGTCCAAGAAAAAGCAGCGGTAGTGCTACTGGAAGAATGGAGGTGAGCTGGGAAAGAAACTTGGAAGCATTTATATTACAGAACATTATCTTCTGGGATAACCTGAAGAGGTGCTCAGTCCTCGATACTAATGAAAAACTCCCAGGTGGAAAAGAGCAATTTAGGCATTGGTGATCCTAACACATATGAGTTAAGTTAAGGTAGTCCCAAGTTCAGATGAGTGCTGAAGTAAATTCATTTAATTACAGTATTGGAGTTAGATGACTAAGTCCTTTGTCACATTTGCCTTTTATTTTGCTGTACCTCAGTTTTCTTATCAGGGCAGTACTTACCATCATAAGTGACATGCCAGAAGTCCCGGATACGTTTTTTGTAAAGAGAGATTGTAAGCGGAAGGAATCTTAACTACTCCTTATTCTGTTTCATGAATACGTGCCCATAACAACAGGAATGCAGATGGTAAATCAGTTGTGATAAACCTCATTTAGCATAGACCACATGCCTAAGTCATGCTTTCCATGACAGTACTATAAAGGGACAGTACATTAATGTGACTAAGAGACAATCAATTTCCACAATATTCTGTATCCAGTGCTTATATTTACAGCAGTTCCTGCTTTGGTGTCAGAGTTTTCTGTTAATTGTTGGTTTATGCTTTTTATGTTAGAAAAATTGCATAAGAAAACGTGATTTAACAGAGATTTAGTTAACGGAGATATTTCTCCAGGTCAGTGGTAGGACATTCACCTCAAAAAAAAAAACCTGGAATGGGCAGTTCAACCTCCAGCAGTGACTTTTCCCCATAATGAATTAATTGTGTGTGTGAACTATGATCCAGAGGGCAGGTGGGTGACCTCTGCACACTGATTAGTAGCCTCTCTCTGGCCCATAACCAAAAAGAAAAAAAAAAATTGCATTGATGGCTAACATGTGGTCTTGCCTCATAGCCCCTTGTATGTGATTGCAAAGAAGTTTAAAAGATGCAGAGTAGGATCGATCATTCGGATTAGATCAGATCCTAGTTCAGTGGAATTGAGTTGTGTATTTCACTATTGGGAATGTTTTAGATAGAAGTTGGTAATATGTAGGTGTTAGTGCTGTATTAAACAGGAGATCTTGACCAATTGGATTTTTTATTGACTCAGGCGTACTGCAATATGCAAAGGCAGGTAATGTCTGCTACATGGGGCTTGTTACTTTGCATGTTATAGTTTTTGGACATTTGTCCACAGTGTTGAACCACCATCAGAAATACATACAATCTGGTCAGGCTGGCAGTCTCTGGGGAGATTTGGAAAGGTTGTAGCAAGAACATTAATATTAATATTCTTATCATTAATAGAACACTGCATTGCATGTGATTTGCCATTACTGTGCCAGACATCAGAAATTATAGCCCCAACATGCAATCAAAGTTGCTCAAATGAACCTAAGAAGTTCCTTTAGAAGTTGAGCTCTGCATGCTGGCATCAGTCACTTCACTCGCTGGATGTGTGCTAAGAAGCTGGGATCCAGTCAGGGATTTCTTTACCTCTCGGGTTACTTGACTGTTAGTACTGTGGTCCTGTGGGCTCCAACATTTTTCCATAAATCTCAGCTTCAGTGCATTTTTATTTTAGTGGGATTTTCTTTGGTAGTTTAACATCAGCCAAACTCCTACATGTCTCTTTCTAGTTTAACATTAGCTGCCAGCTCTCAAAGGCTATACATCTAGTCAATTTTTCATCAGATACACAAATTACAGAAGTTTCTAATAATAGGATATGTTCCAAATCACCCAAAATATCACTTGTTTTTCTGTAATCCTGCATGACTCACAATGCTGTTGTTTCATAATCGTTGTTGTGACATTTGCAGTAAGTGTTGTGCTCATATCTGAGTGGGTGGATAGCTGTGGTTTTCATGGCAGCAAATAAAACACTTTTTGCTGGGGATAACAGGTTACTATGACAGAGCCATTTACCAGTAAAACATGAGTCAATACCGTAAATGATTACACTCTAGTGCATGGACAGAATTAGAACGTTATCAGTAATGAAACAAATTTTACAAGTATTTTTACCACATCCATTGAAATAGAGAAAACTTTTAAGTCATTTACCCTTTGGAACAGACAGTCTGGTGGGTAGACATTTACAGCTTTTTGAATGAACAAAGGTGCACTGCAAATGCCGCAGTTTTGCAGATAATCCTTTACTATCACAGTTCCCTTAATGGTACTTTCAGTACCATTTGTTAAAACACTGGTCTCCCTATATGAAACTTAAAAGTTAAACTCACGATTTTAATTGCACCTTATAAATAAAATCTTGTTTTTATTAGGCCCAGATGTCTTCAGTCTCATCAAGGTTCACCGCAGTAGCTATTTGTCTCCTGTAGCATGCCGTACACTTTCAGGTCACCTGCTGTGCTGGGGCTAAATCTTACTTGCCAGAGAAATGCAAGCAGGATTGAGCCCCTGCACAGCATGTCCCTTGAGTTCAGAGGGACAACCTGCTTTAGTCATGTAAAATGATTAATTTTAGGCATTTGCAGCCTGGTCAAAAGCCATTGAAGGCAATGGAAAGTTTCCAGTTGGTGTAAGCGGGCTTCAGATCAGTTTCTTTCATTTGTGCTTCGCAGAGCAATATTTCCTAGAATATCCCTTGATTAAGCAGGAGACATGAATTACATGTATTGCAGATAAACACATACTTGTTTTGTGCAACTTGATAGCCCTAAGTATTTAATACTCGGCTCACTGAGGTGATCTTTGTAAGGGGCTAGTGGAAAAATGTGTAGGTTTCTGACTAGCTGATGAGGTTTGCTTCAAGTGTATGTGAAGAGAGTCTAATTAATTTTTTTAAAAATCATCCCAAAAGCCTCAAGAGATACAAAGGTAAGTAATTGTGAATATTGAAAGCTATGACAACCTTACTGTAGCTCCACAGCTGAGAAGTATTAAAGCCACACCATTTTGTCTTTTCCTCGTAATCCATACATGTGCATATTTACATGCCCACATAGGTGTTCCTGCTTCTCAGCAGGTCCCAGTAGTACAACCAAAGTACAGTCGCTCATCGTGGTTACTTGCTGATCACTGTGCACTGTTACATTTAGTTCTTATACTCTGTTTTAAAAAGAGGATAACTGTTGATGGGCTATTTTAGGCATCAGGAAGCAGGATCAATGGACCAATGAGTAAGTATATAGATGAGAAAGTAAAGCAAGTCGCTCTTTGGGGTATTTTAGGTGCCAATCCAAACCACCATGTCTGCATGTAGGACAAGGACATGGCTTAGCCATTGTTCTGCCAAATGACACTGCTGGCAACTCCAGCTTTGCCACCACTGCAAGATATTGTTGACTGTGTATAAAGACAAGCTGCAGCTGGAGTCATGTATTTCTGCCTCTGGGGGACCCTGCTTGAGCAGGATGGTTGGACTAGATGACATCCAGTGGTCCCTTCCAACCTTAGCCATTCTGGAATTCTGTGATACAGAGGATCCCAATCTATGCAGGTAGACTACTCCATTTATTTTGGAAGATGAGGTTTAACTGATGCTTAGGCTAATATTACCTGAAAATATTTAAAAAAAAAATCAATCACTTACTAAAATATAAATGACATATTATTAGTGGTATTAGAAATTAGATGGAAATGCTTTTACTAATAAACTCCTGTTTTCAACATTAAACTCCCATAACATGATTAATTCTGCCTGATGAAACAATCATGCCTGACCTTAGTGTGGGAGCGTGTTTTACTGCTATGCACCCTGCCACTGTTGCATTTATTAATTCTAATCTTAGAAGGTAATAGTGGCATACCAAAAGCTAAAAATGAAACATATATCTTTGATATGGCTTTGTATAGATGCTGCAATTGTTATGAATTTGATTAATATTCTAGGAGGCACATTAGAGCTACTACAGTGTCCTTTTTCTGTCAAATCTTTGTAGACTCCCTCCATTGTATCTCCATAGTCTTGACATATTTGGATTTACTCATGGTCAAAGGTGGATGTTATCAAGGCAAGTCACTGTTAGCCAGGAATTAATGTAATATAAAAGTGGAGCTTCTTTGTTTCCTATGCTATCTGTTGATTTTCCCTAGGTACCAAAAGAAAATTACAGAGATAGACTTCTACTGTTATTGTCTCAGTGATAGGTCGTATCTCCAAACAAACTGTATGAGGAAGGTTATGTTTTGGAATAACATCCTGTGTTTTTGTGCTTAACCACTTTTCAGTGATGGTCTGAAGTTGCATTGTATTAACACAAAGTATTTTACAGAGTTAATTGATATTCCAGGTTTGTCCAGGGGAAAATCTACAGCTCCCCACAACATGCTTGACAAGTTATTATATTTACTTTAGTCAAAGCCCGAGTGTGCAGTATCCCTCTTGGAGGTGGTCTATTATTGGAGTCCCATATGCTTTTTGTTTGGGAAGAAAGCAGTCACTGTGTCATACTGTTACACAGGGTATTCTTTTTCAAGGATGTTGTTCCCTTGGGGACCATATCATGCCAGAGTTCCTAAGTCTAATAAGACCTTTGTAGCTCTTATTGTGTTAAGTTCTGGGAGGGAAGCAAGAGTTAAACAGAAAATATAATTCAAGCAACTATACTAGACCACATGTTGAAAAACATCACTCTTCAAGCAAAAAGGCAAAGGCTTCAAGAAAATTCCAGTTGTGGTAATCTAACTTTTTATGTTTCTTCCCAGTTAATCTACGGAAAGACAAAGGGTGATCCTTGTAGAATGTCTGGTTTATTCGACAGTAATCAAAAATATATCAGCAGTTCCATGTCCTTGAAAATTATATCACAAGGCTTCAAAAGAAGTTTTAAAGATTTTAACCTGAACAGAATTAGGAAAGTTATGAGGACTATCCCATCATCAGGGATTGATAGGGCACTATTTTTTAATATATGCAGAAAGAGAAAGAGAGACAAAACATTATTTTAAATGGCAGATGTGTCAATCTGCCTTACTTTCTACTCAAAATTTCCATGTTAATGGAGGTAAATAATGTGCCTGAAATATCCCCATATCATAATCTGGCTAAAAAAAGAAATGACTAGTTAGAAATAATCTTACAACAAAAAATATAACAACCATGGTAAAGGTCTAATAAATCCACACTTGTGACACCTTTGATTCAGCTAGATATACTCCTTAATTCATTGGCTAAATTCCCACTGAGTTTCTAGTAGTGAAAGTCCAGTTGATGAGAAGAACTGATGTTGAACTGATGAGAAGTTGATGAGATGGTCTAGGAATCGTCAAGATTTCAGTTTTGCATGGAAAATTGATTTACTAACCAAGGAATAATCCCAGACATATATCAGTTGTTTCCTTAAGAACAGAACTATCAACAGCTTTCTTACAGGGGCAGTAATTTTTCTTATCTGGAACTCCATTGGGATGCAAATCAATGAATGATACATAACTAGCTTTCAGTGTATCAGATTATGAGGATAAAATAACAGAGATAAAAAGCTTGGAGATTTACTTCTGTTTTTTTTCCCATTTATTCCAGCATCTAGTTTCCCAGCAACGCCTTTTGATACAGGATGAATCAGTGAATTTGTTGAGTCTGTACACATCCCCTTCTTTGCCCAACATTACCTTGGGACTTCCAGCAATACAACCCCAAATCAGTGTAAGTGACCAGTCTCAAGCCTTCCTATATAATTTTGCTTCCTGAAAACCTACTTTATGATAATTCTCTTTATTTTTTTAGCATTTCAGAACATAAACAATTCAGAGTAGGAACCAGACATCTCTATGCATTGGGCAACGTCTGGATATTTAAGACCACAACTTGAAAGCAATAATCATTCTTAATCTCAAATAAACAAGTGGCAGTGTGGAGCTTACCTACGTATGGGCCATATGCATTGCATTTATGTAAGATAACAGATTTCAGATGTGGCCTGATGTATATGAAGAGATTATTTAGTAAAAATGTTCAAATTATATGATCATCTCTACCTGATAAATTACAGCACCTGTAACTTTTTATGAGATTCCAGTAGCATCCTAAACTGGGCTGGAGCACAGTAGGGGAAGAACCTACTATTCCTACAGCTAGGTTTGTGTTTGAGGGGTATGCTGTCAATCTGGCAAATATAAAATTGGTGAGAAGTGAACAATTCTTAATATTTTAATGACGAGTTATATTCACATCCCTTATTCAGTCTGCAGCAATGACCTTTGTCTAGAGATAAATCTTAAATTAATATGCAAAATGTGTGAAAACACAGACATGGTGTCTATGGAAATCCATGCAGATGGATAAGGATCTTTAGATCTAAACCAAGTTACAGTAACCTGGAGGTGAAATTTGCTGCTCAGTACTGAAAATTTTGCTACTGGTCAAAACTTATCCGCTTTCCAGAAAAAAAAAAAAAAAGTAAAAATACTGATATATTGTGATTCTGTACAACCATATATTGTGAAGAAATTTTAGTAATTTAAATTTCTTAGAATGGGAATTGGTAACTTCTATGAAAAAACTAGGGGTTGTAAGCACAGCTTTTCATGGAGGAAAAAAAATTATGTCTGTGCAATCCACTATGTAATGAATGCTACTGAATTCTAGTGCTAAATGTAGTTTCAAGTCAAAGTTCCTTTTTGCTTTATGGCTTATTCAATACATTTCCTGTTCTTAGCAGTAATATATTGCTGAAATCCAACAGTTTAACATCAGATCCAGAACTTTGTAAAGAAAATTGTGTAAGCCTTAAATCAGTTCTCTGCAAGTCTGAGATATTTATAAGCAAATTATTGTTTGTAAGGGATGAAAAAATTGAACTGATCATGAAAAGTAGCACTTACTTTTTCAGAGGATATCAAGAAAAATTTCTTAGCTATTTCACAAAATACATAACTAGGTTCAAAGTAATTTTATAACATTATAATAGAAATGAAAATATGCTTCATTTGCTCACTCAAATCTTATAAGCTTTTGATGTGGCCAACTAGCAGCAAATAGTACTTTTGGCATTAGAAAAAACAAAGGGGTTGATTTACGCAAGTAATGTTTATTTCTGTTTCTAGAATAAGCAGTTGCAAATTGAATGTAAAGTTTACTCTGGTGTTTGTTTTTCAGGGAAGGGTGATAGCAAAGTGTGAAGTAAGCATACACCATAAAAATATTGGTAAAAACCTTGGTTTAGAATTTATGAAATTCAGATTATCAGATAAACTGTTTTTACCATGACGTACCATAAGTGGTTATCTGAAAACCTCAATATGTATATTTCTGTTCAGTTATTATTCTTGCTGTAAAAAATGTTATTCTGCTTTAACTGCTGTTTTAAATTTTTTTTTAATAGGCAAAGAGCAAAGAACTATAAAGTACATTCACAATGCTGAAGGACGAAAAATTCCAAAAGCTTTAATTCAATAACTGTGCAGTTTATAAGGGTACTTTAAAATGCCACACATGTACAATAGCTCTTGACAATTCTGTAGATGAGGGTTTAACTGTACGAATTTACTTTGCAAAGGGTAAAACTTACATTTATGCTGTCCTTCAGGGAGTCAGGGAGTGCTCCAGGAAAAGTAATAGCTTCCCACTACTACAGGTAATTATTTTGTTTTGCTGATTGGCTTGCTTTGTGATGGAAAGTTATGTGAAAAAACAAGCCTTGCCTATTCCAAACTAAACGCAAACTATTTCCTCTGATCCCCTGGTTTCCTGCGCAGAAGGCTGTGGGAAGGTCTTTAGGAATTTTAAGGATAGGTCCCGTCCTTTCATTAATAATGTTCTAACTAGTAGTTTCTTATGCTTTGGCTTTTATTACTGATTTTTTTCCAAGTGGTTTCATTAAACAGTTTCTCACAGTGTTACATTTAACTGGCATGTTCTTCCTCCCTTTTTATCTCACGGTCAAAGTGTAAGATAGGGATGTTAACCTTTTCTTCTGTATGTATTCATAAAGTGTGATATATGACCATCTAATCAAGCGGAGGTATAAACATCCAGGTCTCTGAAAAGCAGTTACCAATGTTGTTCTTCTTTGACAGGCTTCATCGTCATTCAAAGAAAAGCAGAAGGGGGAGACCCCATCACTCAGACAAGGAGTGGCCTTGGCTGGACAGTATGGAGGAAACATTCCTCCATCATCAACTCATCCTCACATTGCTTTGGAGGGAAAGCCAAATAGCAGCCACCAAGCTCTCTTGCAGCATCTGTTACTGAAAGAACAAATGAGACAGCAAAAACTTCTTGTGACTGGTAATGATCAAAGCTTCAATACGACGTTAAGATGTTTTTAATGACTCTTGTATTCAGTTTAAACTAAATGTAGTAATACAGATACCATACATCCTAACTATTGGAAAAAGTGGAAGAGTAGAAGAGAAAAGGACAGTATCTGTTTTCTCTTTTAGTGATTCTATTCCAGTCTCTTAGCCTGAAAGAATTCAGTGATTACAGAAAAGAGAAAATGATTACTTCATCACATTCTTTTCCAGCAGTGTATGATGAGGCACGTGGTACACATCTCACTGAATCAGTGCTGATGCAGAGTTCCTCGATATACACCCCTATTCTCACTGAAAGCTTTCTCTCCTATTAGAACTATTAGTTTGTTGTTTTTCACAGGGGAGTGAAATGTCCCTGTTTTGCAGGAGCGGTTCCTCTTCATCCGCAGTCTCCTTTAGCAGCAAAGGAGAGAGTCTCACCTGGCATAAGAGCTGCCCACAAACTGCCTCGTCACAGGCCACTGAATCGAACCCAGTCAGCTCCTCTTCCTCAGAGTACTTTGGCCCAGCTGGTCATCCAGCAGCAACATCAGCAGTTTTTGGAGAAGCAGAAACAATACCAGCAGCAGGTCCACATGAATAAGGTGAGTTCCCAAAGTAAAGAATTTCCAACTAACTTAAAGGTTGAAAACTACTACGGAAGCTTAGTTATTGATGCCATGTGGTCATGGACAGCAGAGAGGTTCTTGCACGAGTATCTTGTTTGTTTATGCATAGTTGATATATATATATTCGTATAGAACTTAATTTTTCAGCTTCCGAAATAGGCTACAATTCAACAAAATAGGGTTCAAAGCAGCTTAGAATTTTACATTACAGGTGGCTTCCTGTTGAATGGTAAATAATGTCTTAAAGATTACTAGATTTCTCTCCAGCTATTTTGTGTGTACTTTTGAGCTTCAGCAGTCATTCCATTCAACTGCTTTTGAATTGTATTAAAACCTTTCTCATTGTGGACTAGTATGTGGTGTAAATGGATAACTCATTTGAACTCAATCAGCAAATTAAATTTATTGTTTCTATGTGAGAAACTCACTAAATATCTGGAGAAATTTTTAATCAGCATTTATCAAAATTATTTTTTATCTGTGAGTCCATCACTAATGTGACATTTTGTTATCAGACCATATAAGTAGAAAGAGAAGAATGTGCTGTTGCCAACATTTGATATGGAGTTGAATCATGCAGCACATGATTGCCTGTACAGTAACACCTTATTCTGAGCAGGGTCAGGGGGAAGAGGAAAAGGGACCATCCATTAATAAACAAAGAACAGCAGAATCTAAATAAATTTATAAGGAACTAAGGCTTCTACAACAAATGTAATGCCATTCCCTGCTCTGAAATTAAGATATACAAGTAATTAAATGTTTTTATTTGGAAAACATTTTTCTGCATTTACTGAATAGCTTTCCAAAAGTTGTTTGCTGAAGCTCCTGTAATATTTCAAAGATACTAATCATGCATCTTTAGTTGTCTTCTTTTGTTTGAGTATGACTCAATAACTCTATTTAAGAGGCAGTGGCAAAGAAGATGAAAAGAGGATGTTGGTTCCTTGTACCTAAGGAAAAAAAAAATCAATCCACCTTACTGGGTGAATTTCCCAGGGGTTACTGATTCTTTGGAATCTACTAAGAATTCCCAACAAAATTAGAAACAAACCTAGAGTTTAAGTACATAGTTTGTACAGTGGTTTGGTTATTAAATCTTGTCTTAATTAGGAAAAATGAAGACCAGAAAACTTCAAAGTTCAGAGCTGATCCTTCCATGTTAACCCCTCTCAGCTTGGGTGTTTTGATTACTCAACTAGGACTCCAGTTGGCTTTTCTTTGAGTATGCATTCCATATGTTTAATCAAGATGGCATATGTATATCTCATAGCCTCAGGTTTTGAAAATATTTCACCTTCCCTCAATTGTTTGAAAAGAAAAGAATTTTTAACGAGTAAAGTACTGAGTCTTTGTACTACAAACCCATCAGTTTATGCACTCCTCTCAAAGCAAAGAACCGCACTGACGTGTTTTTGTTAGATAATATGCTTATTGTTATAAATTCCACCACAGTATTTGGGATATGTGCTGTGACATATATGTACGTTTGTCCCCAATGTGAAAATTAAACTTGAGGCACACAAACATATATTTCTAGTCACGTAGGACAAGGAATGCATTGAACCTCACAAGAGTAGACTAAATAAGGAGGTAAAAAGGCTGGAGTTGGTTGGGATAATGCTTGTTTCAGTAACATTTTTTTTTGCTGAGTTAAACTACAATGAAAATACACATTAATGAGAATAATTTCCTCTCATACTTGAAATACACTTTCATTCTCACATGGTTCTTTGTGATGAAGAGACAAAATAAAATTCCTTCTTTTAAAACCTGGTGAACCTAGCTTGTAACAAACGTGAATAGAGCCTTCCTAAATCTTCGTTCGTGAAGCCTAGCCATGATGATTGGCTATACATATATGCAGATAGTAGAAACTTAGTTTATCTTAGGGCTTTTCTCTACCTTGAACCTCTGTAACCTACTTATGCCCCAATAGCTTAGCAGTCTCCTTTACCCCTACTCCCAGAGCAGTCAGCCTTCTTCAGGAGCACAGTAACTCAGCAGAGCAGAAAATACCTGAGAAGGAATGAGATCACGTGGCAGCCATAGAAGCAGTGAGTTATCTGAGGATGTGTGTGGTTTATCAGACTTTACAGTTTGCAGCATCTAGGTTCTTCTCCATTCTCTGAAGAATCATTTTGGTGAATAGTACTGAAAAATGTCAGCACTCTAACTGTGTATGTCCTTTGCAGAAGGCCGGGGGCTTTCTTATGTACTTACAGAACCTGATTTTTAAAAACTGGAATTTGGGGGTAGCCCACAGAAAAGAGAGTGAAAAAAAATCAAATGGTGAAGTAGCTTTTATGTACTGAATTTAAAGCTATATTCTTTAATCCTCTAGCTAAAAATTCAAATTGAACACCTGTGCCTATATAAGGCTTTTGTACTCTGCTAGCATGGTGGAACATACTTTCTTCAGTCTTAAAACTTAACTCTATTCACAGTTGAAGTTATTTGTTCATTACATAATTTGTATGGCTCTACAGTCAAACTCTGCAAAGCAGAGTTATAGTTATTTGAAACTTTAAACAGCAGATATTCTAGATCAGGTAGGAAAACAACCGATATCTTCTCATTTCTTAGGACAAGACTGGGTATGTATCAAGTGAACACATGAACTTGTTATTTTCTATTGTTCTGTCCCTTACTCTCTTGTTCATAGGCTGTATAATGAAATCTGCAGAGATATAATTTCCTTCTTTTCAGTCATGGAAAATGCAGGGGGTTTATTTAATAAGGAATACTCAAACATTCTCTTAAAAGTTTGGGTGATAAAGATCAGAACCACTTTAAACTGACAAGACTATGAAATGGCAGTTGATCAAGAGCTTAGAACAAATTAATATCATCTTTTTTCTTTTCTGTTTCTGTTTCCATTTTTTTTCCTTTGAATATTTGCCCTGAACTAAGATCACGTGGCATGTATCAGCGCTGCCTGAAAACTGGTTTTGGTCAGATCTTTTTGGCTGACCTGTAGGCGATTCTTGCTGTAACAACAAAAAGAGGAAGAGAACCAGTTTTTCCCCGCCCTGTTGTTCTTGTATTTAAAAAACCCATTTATTTTTTTCGAGGAAAAAATATACTTCAGCAGCAAGCCAGTGCTGATGTGAGGGTGATAACAAGCAAAATCTAACATAGGTCAGAGGTAGAGGATTTCCTTGGATCATTTCCATTCTGAAAAGAAACAAATCATTGCCAAAAGGTGTGCCTCTGTCCTTCATAACAAAGAGAAGCTCCCCTATGGATTTTTTCTGGTCAGCTGTCAGATGCCAGGCTTTTGATGTGGGAAATGGTATACATCTCCACTGAAGTCTGGCATGTATACCTGTGGGATCTAGTACACTGACCTTCTGAAAACATTCTGCAAATGTTGACATCCCATCCAAAAGTAGGTAAAAACCGTTGTCCCAGAATTAGTAATGAATGTGAAGTAACCTGAACTCAGCTTGTCCTAGGGAAGATCGGCTTTGCCATTGTCAGCTTTAATATACTTCTGTCCAAATGACAGCTTGTTTCCTCATAACACCCTTTGATCACCATTGCAAATCTTCATTCTGCTCAATAAAGGGAGTTCAAAATCCAAAACTCCCTATTAAAAGTAGTGCAATTGGGTACCAGAAGACCATTACTACCATAAAAAAAACTTAAAATCATGATATCATTTGTGTATATCTAGTAAGCTTTGACCCTGCCACTAGAAAAAAAAAAAAAAAAATGTATTTTGATATAACTAATATAAGTGCAAAGCCCCTAGCAGAAGTCTGTGTCCAAGAAAATCTCAGAAATCATTATGTGAAGAGTACATGAATAAAAGCCCTTGGTCTTTAAAAGTTATTTTTGTCATGTATGATGAATAAGGCCTGCCTCTGCTGAAGCTAAACTAGCATGGTCTTCGCTGGAACCAAGATTTTATTTGATTAGTGTGGGAACTCTATTTGTGTTCTTAAATAGTGTATTCATAGCATTTTGACAATTTTTTTTTCAGTGGTAAAATTCTCAGTATGGTAAAGTAAATGTTAAAATAATGGGGCAGTTGATAGTGTGCACTAAATTGTGGGAGCTGTATGGATAATGCTAAAGCTTAGATAAGAAATACCTGAATTTCAGTTTTCATTCCAGCATGTGAATTGGTTTAAAACATCTTTGGATAGGGGAAGCAATGGCTGCACAAGACTGTGAGGTAAAAAATATATAGGAAGTGAAAATTCATTACTGCTTTAGATAATGTTCATAGTTGACCAATCTCTCTTAATAAAAATAAAAAATAATACAGAAATTTATATTGATTTATTGATGGAAAAAATAGGAAGATTATTTGTAGAAATACTGAAAAGATACAGTTAATCCCAGATTAATCATTCATTTCTCTGAATGATATTTAATGAAATGTGGCAGACTGGATCAGGTTCAACGGTAGTAAATTAATCTAGTTTCATTAAACTTATTACACTATGGTTTTGGCTTTGCAGCTTACACATCTGACTAGCATCCTCTGAAGGTGAGAGGTATTCTTCCAAATACTGCTTACAGCAGGTGTTTATTTGGACAAAACTACAGCAAGAGTTGGCTGTGTTTGGAATTGGAAAATACCCAGAGCATTTTCTCCTTTCTTAAGAACTAATGTTTAAGCCATAATGCAGAAGAATGATTTTGAAAGACAAATATATCCCTTAGAAATGTTGTACTACACGAGTAACAGAGACAACAGTAAGCAGGTGCCAAGTTATTTTCAGTACAGCTAACAACAGATATAGCTGGTCAAAGTAGTCTGATTATCATAGGAAAGAAGGGGGAAAAATGTGTTCAGGAAGTATATACATGAGTTCTTAGAAACAACTGCCATGTATTTCAAATGAACAATTAACTAAGGATGGAAATTATGGGGTGGCTGTTGCAGAATTTCATGTTTTGTCTCTTTGTAAAGACATTTTATTTAAAATCATGCATTTTACAAGAGCTTATAATTTCAAAGGAGAAACAAAGGCAGGGGCTGCAACTGAAGGACCTATAAAATGGTTTGTTGAAGTGTTCAGATTATTTACACTTAGTCTTCCATTTTTCTATACAAGCAAGCAGGTTAGATTATGTTTGATGACTTTTTTTGGTTGGACTCTTGCAGTTATACAGTGGAGTTGATGTCTGTAAATGCTTCCTCTTCTGCTGCCACTATTTACTTTGGCTCATGAGTATCCCTTACAGTTTAATTTCCTGAAAATAAAAGAAAAAAAAAAAAGGTTACATTAGCATGAAACCATTTTTCTAGTGACTGCTTTAGTTGGAATAGTGATAACAGTAAAGTATACTGGTTAAAGATAACCAGTATGTACAACTCTTAATTTCTTAGTGAAATAATAGTTTTGTTATTATTTTTAAATGCAGTTTTATTAAAACTCAGATTAAACAATCACTTTTTCAAAATAAAAAATATGCATTAAAATGAGGAGAAAGTCCTCCATGTACCTACTGATAAATTCAGAAAAAAAATGGAAAGTGAGGATTTCAAGTGAAAAATTTAAACATTAAATGTAAGCAGAAGTATCCAGCTACACAGTGAAAAGACCTGAGCAGTGTTTCACTCAGAACTCATTTTCTGCTGTGTAATCCATCTTCAGATAGAGAGAAAGGATAGAATTACTGACTCTAAACTGCTATCTTCATCTGTCTCCAGATACATAATTTTCCATGGTACTACCAAGAGATATAATATAAAATAAGATGTTTATGGCTTAGGAGAACTGAACAGTCTCATGGTAGTGCTGCTAATATAGTACTGGAATAAGTACTGGGGCCAAGCTGTCTTTAAAAAACACATTTCACAGATTTTTAGAAAATTTAATTTGTTTATCTCCTCCTGTGGCTGAAGTCTGGAGCAAATCACCTGCTGGCTTCCATGGCATGGGAAGAGGCCCCAAAACAGGAACAGTGGAAACTGAAATGTCCACAAATACCACTCTGAGTCTCTGCAGCCCCCTTATGTATGCTTGTTCACTCCACTGGCTGCATGCAGAAAGTGTCTGAAGGTGATCTCTGTATTCATTCTGTACTGCAGTCCATCATGAGTTGCCTCAGAAAGCTCAGCAGCAGATCTGTGCCCATACAGCAGTGTGAATAAAAAAAAGCCTGACATAAAAGTGAAAAAGCATAAAAGAAAGGAGAGCAGTAATGAGCTAAATATGCGTCTTAACTTTGCTGTGGACATGCACTCATTTTCTCTTGGCTTCCCCTCCAGAATAACCCACCTGGTGTCAAGTAACTGGCACATGGAATGGTTTACAGATGGATCAGCCTCAGTAACTCTTGTAGCTGTATATGATTATATGTCACACAGATGTTTCAGCTTGTATTTGCTCACTAGTAGCCAGCCACACAGCCTTACTTGTCTTTCTCTTCTTGTTTGAGGATGTTTAACTAATAAATAATAATAATTTATATAATAACTAAGTGACAGAGAGGAGTGTACCTGAGCTGATTGCATGAAAATAGTTTTAGTGCCTTTTTGGTCAACATCATCCCCTGAGAAGCAACTGAAAAAGATTTATGTATTTGATCTGAGACATTTTTTAGATGCTGCTTAATAAAAGGAGACACTGCGTTAGTTGCAGTAGTGAGGATTGCCCAGTTTAGAGCATGCCACCTGCAGCATGCAGGATACACATATAGTGATTTGCCAGTTACTAAAGTAATGAAAAAGGATTTTTTGTTTGTTTCTTTTTAGTAAACCATTAAACTCCCATTACACCCCAAAAATAAAGGTTTGCTGTGACAGAAGTCAGGCAGGCTTCCACTGTGGATTTGTTTCTCCACTGATGAGGTGTATGCATCAGAGCATCAACTGGGACTGCATAAACTGATCTTTCAGCTCTACTTGTGGATTTTGTGGGAGTTCCTAAATCCAGCTGTAGCTTCTTCATCATAGTTTACATGACAAACCTGCCCTGCACTAGAGGTGGCATTTTTCTGTATGCATTAGCAAGCTGAATGAAACTGGATGGTCTATGATTTGTGACAAAGTAGGTATAGTGAAGCCATCCAGTAACTCAGTATATGACACTAGCTAAAACTCAGTTTTAAAGACTTGGTATTTTGGGAGGGAGGCAGATGGGAAGAGGAAAGTATGTAAGAGTAATGGTAAAAGGTATATTTTTCCCCTCAGGATATTTGACTTTGATGATGATGAGCAGTATTTGCTTGAAATCAAGGGGGGCAGTTGAATAAATGATAATTACTTGACCCCTTGGAAATTCTTACTTACCTGTCTGATTTGTGCCTCTTTCAATAAAGTGGGAATTTTGGACTAGTTTACAATTCATTGGCTTTATCTTAAATAGCAAAATGTAAACTGCATGTGATTGCAACGCTCAGGCCTCTGGCACTTCAGCAGAGCTTTACAATAGCAGTTAATGGTGTAACTTGGGTAATGGTGTATTTTGGGTAGCTGTGTTATATCATTATTGATGAAACTGGGATACCTGTACAATGCACCACAAAATCTGTGGTCTTTCCAGTCATGGATAGATGTGCTTGTAGTATCTGTGTGCCACGCCATAGGGGACTGACGCCAGCTCTTTGTCACTGCTCCTTTGTTGGCTTACAGTGACTTCAAGCTTTAATTGATTGAGAAGTTTGTGTGAACATTCCCTAATTTGCTTATAACAAAACATTAACCAGATTACTCATTTTCTTATACCTTATTGTTCTTTATTATTTTGTGTTGTGGAAAATTAACTGTAAGATTGTATTTCTGAATTCACGTTTGAAGAGTATGAAGGGAGAGAAATTTCTCTTGATTACCGGTTGTAACAGTCTAACAGATGTTTTCATTATTCTGCCTGATTTTTAGTTTATTATTATTATATAGCACTCCATATACACGGTATTTTCTACTGCAGAATAAGAAGTGACCTTTTGCTTAGGGACTTTTGTTCTTTTTTCCCTGTACATCAATACTTTGGCAGTGCATAGCTACATGGGTTTGCTGCAGAAGCTTTAGTTTTGTCCCTGCAAATCTAGTACTTTTTGGTGTTTGGCAAAAGTGAAAGGAGTCGGTAACTGTTCCCCTCTTCTCTTTCCAGATGCTCTCTAAGTCCATTGAGCAGCTCAAGCAGCCTGGCAGTCACCTGGAGGAAGCTGAAGAAGAGCTTCACGGTGATCACTCCATGCAGGAAGAGCGAGCTCCCGCCAGCGGTGCCAGCAGTGCCAGCGTTAGGGCTGAGAGCAGCAGTGCTGGTGTGGATGACAGAATAGGACAGCAGGTGGGGGCTGTGAAAGTCAAAGAGGAGCCACTGGACAGTGATGAGGATGTTCAAACCCAGCAAATGGAATCTGGGGAGCAAGCTGCTTTTATGCAACAGGTAATAGGCAAAGATTTAGCTCCAGGATTTGTAATTAAGGTTATTATCTGAACATCACATGCATTTTCTAGGCTTTGATAAGCAATTGTGTTTTGATTCACTGACCTAGCAAATCCTGATTTGCTGTTCAAAGAGTTTAGCAAGTGCAGAAGTGTTGTATGTACACTTGAAAACATAGTGAAGTTCATCCTTATGGCCACTAATTGAGAAACTACCTGTTGCAGTCAATTATTCTGCATATATCTGCGTAATAGCTGATAGACTTTGTATTAACCCAGAATTACCTTACATCGCTTAGATTTAGTGAAAGAGATCTTGTATCACTTAGCCTGTTGAGATCAGCAATTGCTGGAACTAGTTTCCAGACCTGATTGATGAAACATTCTTCTGCTCTGATTTTGAATCCTCTGACTTTTGCTTTCAGCTGTCTGTATATATTGTATCATACCGTAGTCTTGAACACTGTTAACATTAGGGTATTTTTTTCCCCAGTAGACAGGTACTGACTGCTATATCGGTGGTCCCAGGCTGATGTATAAAGTTAATTTAGAGAAAAGTACAAGGTGGATATAAAGAGGCAAAGCAAGGCACTGTTTTAAAATTGCATTGTTTTCTTTTTTGCACTGCTTGGTTAATTTTTCATTCTGTCTTATTTGATGATAATGTCCTCAGAGACATCCTTAAATGCAGCAGATGAAAGTACTGGTGAGAAGCAAAATGCAGCATTAGGCTCCAGTCAGTTATTAGGACATTGCACGAAAAGCACAGATACGTTATCGTTATCATCTGATATCCAATCACTTGTTTATTTTTTTTTAAATGAAGACTAATCGTAAAATATTGCATAACCTTTCCTGCCGGGGTCTCATGGACAAATCCTAAAATAACAACTGTGCATAAAATGCCACCTTGACAAAGGGCTCGTTCAGCTTCTCTGGGAGCTTTTCCCCAGAGCTGAGAGGCGCAGTGCGTGTGTGCAGCCCGCGAGCTGGCGTCCTTTTCCGTCCTTGTACCATCAGGCAGAGCAAGGCTGGGTGCTGTGCAAGGCCCTGTTTATTTAAGTCAATGCTTTGTCAGGTCCCTGCTGTTCTCCTGCAGAAAAGTGATTTTGGGAGGGGGGGCAGGAAATGCCTTATGGAAACAGGAAGCCCAAGTGATTCATGTGCTGAGGAATGCGGGCTGGGGGGAGATGGGGGGGACGGGGCAGCGCTCCCTCTGTTTTTAAAGGCACTCTATGAATTGATTTATTGTCAAAGAAAATAACAAAGCGAGTAGGGAAATTGTTAAGGAAGCTTTCCAGTGAAACATTTCCTTCATATTCCCTTTTGATATGTTTACCTTGTTTTATAGGTTTACTTTTGTTAAGCTAGTTAAAGATTCATTGTATTAAGATCCCCTTTAATATGGATAATCCCAAACTGACCTGGACTCCTTGTCAGGTTTTTTTTCTATTAAAAATATTTATATTTCTAAAGCTGAGGTATTTTAAGGTGCAGTATCCTGTTTCAAAAGAGATAGCTGTTTTGCCAAATGTAGAAATTGTTCTAAAATATGTTATTAGCATGTGTTATTTACATTATGCTCTAATATGATTAAATCTCTTCTAAAATGTTGCAGCTTCTAAAAAGATACATTATCCTTTTTCCTAGAAGATCTCCAAACAAATGACTAAATAGTTGCTGTTAACACAAAAGGCCTCAATAGATAGAAAAGATTTATTAATTGAGAAAACACAGGTGATTTTTATGTGTGCTTCATATTTGAACAGAAATCTTTCTCCATCTTGGATGAAAAAAATCGCATTCACATTCAAAAAGTGAAGGATATAGAATGAAATTATATGTGTTTCCCATTCTGTGTATTTTTAATTTGCTTTGAAATCTAACTTCAGCCTTATCTAAAAGGGATAGTGCATCTTTAAAATACATTTGGGGAGAAACTTGCGATTGAGAAGAATTTTGTACAATATCTCTTCAAAGACATGTATTCACAAAAGAGAAAAGATATTTTTATATAAAATTAAAATAAGAGAAACTACCTGGAACCAGTGAAAAGGAAAACTGGGTTTAAACAACCACATTTCTAATTGATTATTGTCTCTTACATTTTAAATCTACTGTATTTATTATAATTTACACCCTTAGAGGTGATCTCTTGTTTTGTGTTGTAAATATATTCTGTTTGTATGTTCCCTTTTTTTTGCCTTCTGATATAAGTCTCTTCCTTTCTCAAATAAAGTTTTTTTTTAAAAGATCCCTGTTTGTATGTTCCCTTTTTTTTGCCTTCTGATATAAGTCTCTTCCTTTCTCAAATAAAGTTTTTTTTTAAAAGATCCCCTTTCACATATCTGACTTTGTGTAAATTCGATAACTTAGTTGTGCTTTTGCTTTGTATAACAAAATATGTTTGCTACACATTGTTGAAACAATTTAAACTTCCAGGAACAAGGTTTTTATTACAGTATTCTTACAATAGTTACACAAAGTCTTTATTTTTTAGTCTCTTGTTTTATCCTACATCAGCCATTATAAGTTTTACTGAATGTGGAATAGTATCAATGCATGCTCATTTTCCCATCATGACATCTGTGTTGAACATGTGATCATATATTGTACCATATAGGAAAGGTAAAAGTGAATCCCAGTGCCTTGGCTTCTAATTATCCAAAATTCAAACAAACTGAAATAATTTCCGTGATATTTCTAAAAGCTGCCTAGACCCCTGATCTGAAAATGTGCTTGTATTGACCTCTTTGATAGTCATCAAGACCTTTGCAAAGCAGGAGTCCACCTGTAAATATGTTGGGGAAGAGAGAATCCAGGAACTTGGCAGACTTTAAAGCATAAGACAGTGAAGTCCTGCTGTAGAGAACTTCCATGAATATGTTAAATGCTATGTGACATTTCCTGAACTTTGCTTAGGATCTACAGAGAGAAACAGCTTGTACTGTCTAGCAATCCCTGTTGCTACAGTACATGAATTACTACTACCAAAAGACTTTGGAAAATTGTTGCATTCTAGCTCTTTTAACTGATCATTTGGCTCTAAGCAGCTTTGATTCTGGTATAATTTTAACTAAAATAAAATGCTTTCAACAACGTAAGTATTTAAGAATAAATAGTTCTGTAAATCAAATTCAATTATACTCACTGCAAAGTAATGTTTCATCAGTAATACACCCACAAAAACATAAAATGTCAAGTTTTAGCTTAGGAAAGCTTAAAACAAGTCTAAACAGCATAACATTATACTGCTTGCTCTTTTGTTTATAATGATTTGGAATCCTATGTCTATAAGTAAATCATGCTTTCAATGGGATTTTATTGAGATTCCATTTGTTTAAATACTCATGTTGAAATTAAAAGCCATAGATGTTTTCAACTTACAACATTCCTGTGTTAGAGGTTACACATAGATTTTTTCCTAAATTATTTGTTTATCATGCATCAAAGCCCCCATAATGAAGAAAATAATAAGTTAATACAATTCACAAGCCTTATCTTTTTCCCAGAATGATGTGCATCTCTTTTTTTTTTAACAGTATATGTTTATTCTGTCCCATTGTTCAAAAAAAATAAAGCCAGTATAGCTGCCAATATAGAAGTAATTGCTCCTAAATGAGGGAAAATGCTTCATAATATTTACATACCCACCCAGACCCACATTACTGGAAAGTAGGTACTATAACATCATATAGTTCTTTTTTTATCTTCTGGCATTAACAAAATAGGATTAAAAGCTGAATGCCTCAGCAAAGCAGGAGCACTTCAGACACTATCACTATTCATTTGTGCACTATCTTCATTTCATCTTCATTATCATCAGGATTGCTAAGATTTACTCCATGTTACTTAAGCAAACTATACCCTGTTTTTATCTTCACTGGCATTCTGAGGTAGAAATCTGTAACCGTTAGTCCCAAGTAGCAATCTAAAAATTTCTCCCCCTTATGAACACTTCACATTTTGCAGCCAAAATTAGCTAAGCCAAGTTAATTTCCTTACTGTATTCTGTCCCACTAGCAGCATGTCCTACTTATCCACTTAAGTAATGTTTGTTTGATTTTCATTTATTTGTTTAGTTTCTGATTTCCTTATACAGTTCCCATCATCTGGGTGGTAACAGAGCTTCTGTACCTCATTTCTCAGTGGAAGAACATAGCTTAGAACACCATCTGCTGAATTGCTGGTCAGGCAAAAAGAAGAACATCCTGGATGAAATTATCTTCTCTGGACCAGATTTTACCACTCTATTTGGGAGACACTGTGTTTTGTATTTTTTTTCTCTTCTAATTCAGCCTAATTTGGAATAAGATTTAAAAACAAAAAATACAAGTATTTCAAACTGCACAGCCACCAGAAAAGCTGGGTTTCTCAGCCATGCTTACTCACTTGCCCACACAGACAGGACTGGGAAGGTGCATCTTTTAGAACCTGTCCCAGTTTCTGGTCCCCATTTGCTGAGCTCAAGTGTCATATTCCTTCTGCTTCTTTTGATTCTGCACCCCTAACTCATCTAGCCCATACAGTATAAGTTCCCTGGCTACCTATGGGCATGCACATCTGTTGGAGCCCCCCAAGAGTTATTTCAGCAGCAGCTGAGAGTTAAAAGGGTACTAGCCTAATAACTTGAAATCATTCAGGAATTCACTGTGATGGCTTCTCAGGGGCCTTAGTCACTAGAGTTGTTTTGACAGACCAGATACTTACTTGTAAGTGATCCAGTGCTTTAATTAGCTGATTGAGATGTTTTAAATGTGGCTGTGGAGTCTTTGTTGCACTTGTTTTACTTTATTTTCCATAGCTGTCTTGAGGTGACTGCATTGACTCTTAACAGTACATAGCCCCGAAATACCAAGGAGATTGCTTGGAGGATATGATGTTAAAAGTACCCCTCTGTACACTGCAGGTGGCATGCCCTAAACTGGGCAATCCTTACTACTGCAACTGATGCAGTGTCTTATTTTATTAAGCAGTATCTGAAAAATTTCTCAGATCAAA